AGGAGTATTTTGGATAGTATAAACCTTAAAACTAGAAGCAAATAGAACAGGAAGTAGTGCTTTGGGTGGAAAACACTTTTAAAACCAGAAGCTGCACACTTCTGCAATCATCTAATTTGCTGGGTGGTGCAATTCTGACAATAAAAGGGTCTTAGAAATTCAATCGTACAAACTGATGTCCTGAGGATGCTGCCTCCTCTACTGCACACACATGTTGTTTTCCCCCTACAGCAGACTGATAAAGAGGCAGGCTATATGAGACTGTCTTAAGCCAAGTTTAAATCATCAAACTTCATGAAAATCTGGAATTTCAGCCCAGAAACTTCATACCAAGGTGACAAGCTGTATGCAGAGTGGCTGCTCACTCATATCTTTGTGTAATCAGATTGCTCGATCCATTTGTGGGTCCTGGTCAGTGTTGTATTTGTATGATTTTGTAGGGGTTTGACTGTTAATATATTCACTTTTGTCCCAATCTAATCTCAAAGATCAGGGTCAATCATGACATTTTTTATTGACTTAATTAGCTATATATACGTATGCAATGTTTAGAAGACTTAGTTGCTGAGCCACTTCAATTTCTGTCGACTCTCCCCACAAAAATAGTTTACTGATCGAGCTCTCTGAGATTTTAAAACTTTTCTTCCTTAAAACTCCTAGAAAAATGCTTCTGAATGGTCGACTCTGGACCACTAGTTTGTGGATTGATGTCCGTTGATCGTTGGCAGAAGCGCCAAACAAATAAATCTACATGAAGACGAAGTAAAACGAAAGTAAAAATGAAGGCAAAAAGTGTGAATAAAAGTGATTTAGGGCTCAACCTAATGAATATCTAACATCTGAGCTTTTCGTAGTTATTCCGAATCTTTCCTGAGAGGAGCTCGTTTTGGACGTATCCCCTGATTCAATCACAGCATTACCGTATGTAAGCATCATGTGTCCTAATGATGCTACAGCGGAGCACTAATTAAATTGTCTGTGCACTGAGCGCTGGGAAAGCAGTTACATCAGACTGATGTTGCAAATAAGCATATGAAGGGAAATGACGTTCGCCGGGGCTTAGCGGGGCAAGTTCCATGAGGAAATGAATGAATTACTGTAAGCATATCGGCGTAATTGTATTTCTGTTATTTCCCCGGAGCCTCTTGTTTGCCTTGGCTCCTCCCAAAATACGGCAAATAAACAAGGTGATCAACCAGAGGCAAAGATGCTCCGTCATCGTTGGCTTTCTCGCTCGCTGCCAAAATCGGAAACCACGCGGGGGATGTGAACAGCTGATATCACTGTGAGTTGCATTCGAACTGGCCTGAAATCTGCAGAGCTGCAGTGTGACATCAGGTCCATGTGAAGGTTCAGCATCAGTGTAAATAAGAACATAGATGCACCATCAATAGAAGCAGCCCAGTTGTAATCCAGAACAGTCTTTGGAATATTACCATCGTCTGGCTCGCCAGCAGGACTCAGATTTAACCTGCACTCTTCTAGCTCAAGCCTTTTAATTTCCACCTGCAACAGTAATGATCTTTCACGCTTGCTCGAACGTTAAAGCAGCATCGCTCAGAGCAGCTCCACTGGCAGCAGCAGCAGACTCACAGGTGTGTAAACCAGCCTCCACGGTTTGCACGTCAGGCTGGAGAACACCTGCATCAAACAGATTTTCATTCAGGATGTTTTTCCGTGTTGTCTTTTAACCGTCTATCTCCAACATGCATCTTGAAATTTTTTGTGATTTCCACTAGCTGCTACCATGAACAACTCCTCTAATGCTGTTCTCAGAAACGCCTCAGCAGAAGCCATACCTAAGAAAACCAGCTGGATTGAACAAACTGATACGAACCTGAAAATACACCACTATTACGCTGCTCTCTAACGGTGAGAACTCTTCAAACGCAGCTAAAAATCGCCACCGTGGCTCCATCCCTCTAACTGCCTCACCAGAATCTGACTGAATGAACTCCTCCCAAGACTTTAGGTGGTGCTTGTGGTGGATATTTATGCACACAGATCCTGCAGGGCCGGTGAAGCAACCAATGATCACCGACCCCACCTGCAGCCTTGGACGTGCCCCCGAGACAAACTTCTCCAAACACTGTCTCACCACACCACCAAACCTTACATACACAAGCTGTTTACTGTCTCCAGAAAACACCCATATTGTCTCATTACAGCGTCACTCGCCGACACTACAACCACCACAAAAAATAAAGAAAAATCACCGGTCTCTTCCCAGGATGGCAGTAACCAAGCAGAGCCACAGAAGTTTAAACTGGATCTACTGTGGTGTGGACGAGCCCCCATTTGTTACAGACTGGCTCAAAAACTGTAACAAAAGCTAGGATACAACAAGTCAAGATTGTTGAAATAGCTAGAAGAGTGGCTAACAATTAAGCTTACCATTCATTTGCATTTGATTGATTCCCTTCCTGCCTTGTGTCTTCCCGTGGTATATATTTACAAAGTCTTCACAGCAAGTGTAGGTATTATGAGGATGTCAGGAGAGCCAAAAACAAGTCACGAGGAGGTCAGGGTGGATGGAGGGTCAACAAAAGACTTTACTGGTTGTTATTTGTCTTCAGTTTTTTTGCTCATTGTGACTGCAATTGTTCCCCGATCTTATTTATCATTGTTACAATGACAGCAAACATTCCCTAGTCGTCCAGCCTTGTAAGCGAGTAAGAATATGACCAAAGTGCTATGTACCACCAACAACTAAGAACAAAACCTGTCTCTTGTGTCTGCATTCAGGATCTGTTCTTGCATATCACACAACAAAATCATAATCTTAGCCCAAACCTGAACAAGTAATTTTGGCCCTAAACCTTGCCGAACCTTAACCAGCTGCGACTTCTAATGAAGCAAACAAATGACATTGACCAAAGGGTTGTCCGGTAAAGTCAGACTAATTGGTTAATGAGGTACACAAAGCCAGAAGTCTGAGTTTTCAATGCCATGAACGTAGTTCTCTTTTAACATGCTAGATCAGCTTGGTAGCTAATGTTGCACAGCTAACCTGCTCTCGAGGAGTTTTTGTTCAGTGTTTGCAATTTAAATTGGTGGTAAGAAGGGTCTCACTTTCACCACTTTTTTTCCCTGCACATGTGAGCAGTACAGATTCTCAGCTGAGGTTAAATCTGCAAAGCTGTTGAGCTGTATGTTAGTAACGCCACTGGTTGAGGCTGTAGAGTTACAGTACTGCAATCTGCATTTGTTGTATTAGTACAGGAGTCTACATGCATTCAGTTGGGGATGCACAACATGCAAAAAAATGTGTTTTTTTTATGTCTGGGTCCAGATTTGCTTTCAAATCAACAAAAAGATCTAGCAAACAAAGCACCGCTACAAACAGCAAAGAAAGGAAGAACAGGAGGAACAGCGTTGTTGTACCATTATATTGCTGGAGTATCTGAAAAAAAAAAATCATATCATTCTGGTGCACTTCAGGCTCAGCAACACTCTGGAACAAAAACTGCTTCACCTCAAGGATAAAACACCAACACACAAGCAGAGCAGCATTGTGCATGCAGTCCAATGTAGCAAAGAGTGCACAGACTTGTACATAGCAAAGACTACACTTTCTTTCTTCTTCTAAACTTTCTTTGAAGAAAAAAACCTAAAAACAAAGTTGATAACCACCATTTGTAATGCTCGTTATCTCCTATTGTGTTTTAGGTTTTTGAGTCAGCTAACACAAACAAAGCCGGTCGATGGTAAACCTGCTTCATAGTTCACCCCTCGGTTTGTCTGTTCATGTGCCTGCTTACTTACTGCTGAACCTGCCTGAGTTTCTCTGTGTTCCTTGTGCTGGTTTGTGCATTTCATTTTTTTTAACCCTTTTCTTTGGTTTGTTTCCCAAACTTGTGGCGCCTTCTTTGTTTTTTGTCAAACCTGTACCTGCTCCCTACCTGTGTTCTGAATTACCTTTTGGACATATTTATCAAATCTTGCTTTTTTTCTTTGAAAACTCACCTCTTGTGTTTGCATTTGGGTCCTTCCTTTCCACACTACATAAAATATTGGTCTTTCCCTAAACTCAAGTCGATTTTGTGCCTAATCCTAGCTTAACCTTAACCACAGCATTTCCACATCATAAAACAGATTTATTTTTCCAGCTGAGACTCGTATTGGAGGAGACCAATGACATTGATTTGGAGCATCAGGTCAAAAAATGACTTTCAGTGCCAATTCATGACGTGTTGGTTCCGCACTTATCTCCTAAAAGGCATTTTTAAATGCCATAGTTACATAACAGTATGTGGATGGTGGAAAACAGACTACATAGTTTGTTTGTGCCATCTGTGACCATTTTGCTTCATCGTGTCTTATTACTGATCTTTTGAGCGTTAGGAAATGATTGGTAACAATCTAAAATTAGCAAAGCTGTCTGCTCATGTTTCAATCATCCAACAGGTTTGTGTTGTCGTGCGTAATGAGCGTAAACCATCTGAGATGCATCATGTTGTTTCTGAGAGGGTTCTTTTCTGTTTCTTCCTCTTAATCAGGTTGGTTCCACTGTGACAGCTGAGTCCCATCATGCAGCCTGGCTGTTACAGAGGAAATAAGAATTTGCCAAATACGATCACAGGTTGGTAGTCACAGCTCATACTGTACTTCCAAACTCGTACATAAACCAACACTGCCATCTAGTGAACACCACTGGACAAGAACTTAACCAATGAGTCTGCTGACACTGTTGTCACCTGTGTGTGCAGCTGTAGTGCTTAACTGTGTGAGCCTAATGATTATAACATCATCATTATGAACTATAGGCAAGTCCCTCATAAAAATGTGCAGAAAATGAAAATAATGGCCTCAAAAGGTCAACATCACCGCCAAACACAAAACGCATGCCATTCCAAAATAAATGATTAGATCTGACAAAGTGTCCTGTCTAAACAAAATGTATTATTTTTTTCATACACAATAATGTTTGGCTACTCCCTAAAACAAAACATTATACAAAAATGTGCCATGAGAAGAAGAAGTGGGCTTTGTTGTGGCACAGTGCGGCTCTGATGGTTTCCAGTCGACTCCCACTGGGCCTCAGAGCTTTCGTAGTCCAGATTGAGAATCCCAACTGGCAAAACTCGGATCCCCCAGTAAATCCTTTTCACCCTGCGGAAGGCAGCGTCCTGCACGTCGCAGCGATATGTACCTGAAAATTAAAACTTAGTTTGTTTTTAACAGTAAAGAGGTTTGTTTTCATCTGTGTATGAATGTTCATCCATGGATTTGTGGGTGTTTTCCTGTTAAAATGGTTTGTTTTTTGCTATTTAAATGTCTTTAAATTACAAATATCAAGTCGTAAAAACACTCTCCGGGTTCTCCGGCTTCCTCCCACACAGTCCAAAACCATGTTGAGGTTAATTGGTGATTCTAAATTGTCTGTAGTTGTGAATGTGAGTCTGCTTGATTGTCTGTTTCTAAGTGTAGCCCTGGGATGGACTGGTGACCTGTCCAGGGTGTCCCCTGCCTTTGCCCTAAGTCGGCTAGTCGCCTAAGACCCTAGTGAGGATTAAGCGGTGTATAGATGATGGATGGATGGATGAAGTAGTAAAAACAGGCCAAAACTAGAAATAACATCCACATCAAAAATCAGTATTTTTACAAATAGCAATTCGCTTGACCATAAAATTGCACAATTTAACTGTATTTAATTAAGCAAAAACATCATTAATTTACAGATATTTGAAGGAAAAGCATATTAAGGATGGAAAAATGGTTAATGTTTTTAACTGCAAAATAGAATCTAGTAAAATCACAAAATAAATGTACGTATTGATATTGGGGGGATCGGACAGGATAGCCCTTTAGATAATATCCACATTAAACATATTTTACAAGGAATAATTTTCTCTTTCACTATTTTACTGTACTTATATCAACTACAGCTTTTTACGGTTTGGAACGTTACGCTATTTCATCATTTTGTCTTTTTTTGTTGTGACAGTGTAACTAGTAGACTTTTTTACTCTGACAAATTGTTCTATAAGTTAAAATTTAGCACAAGTGTCCACCCTAAAAGAGGTACAAAGGCATGATTTAAGCTGTTTTTAGGTTGTCATTATTATAGTCAGCTACTTGGCTAGTACCGACAGTTACACAAGGGCCTTTCAGTGATACTATTCAATAAGACTTTTAAACTAAAGCCGAAGACAACATGACACAACTTAAAGGTTATGTTTATCCAGATGAATTCTTTCCATCACGTCCCTTTACACTGGAGAATTCATCCTCCCCAGTTTAACTAAAGATTTTTCCAACCACATCCTGCCCCGAGCCTACTTCAGGCTCACCATTAAATGAACTTAGGCTCTGTGAATGACGTGACGCTATGAGTGAGCTCATGTGCAGGTGCGTTGTTTACCTGCATCCTCCTCTCTGACGGGGTTCAGAATCACTCGGTCCAGCTGAGGGGCTTCCCAGCGAGCAAAGAGAGAGTCATCAGAGCTGATAACTCCTCGGGCGTAACGCCAAGACACCCTGCGCCGTACAAATAAACAAATGACACCATTAATCTAATGTTGAGCTCTTTGCTGGACCTACACACCTGTCCAGCTCCATTGGAAAAATGGACCAAATCTAAGCTTAAAATTGTGATATTTCATCAAAATCAATTTATTCTGTACATCTCATTTTAAAAATCGCCCAAATACAAACCAAGTTTTATGAAAGGATTTTCCACATTGCAACCGTGAGCACAAGCGACTCAGCTGCGACCGACAGTCTCGTGACAAACGATTTGGCTGATTTACAGGCTGGGTTTAGACAGAAGAGACAGGAGACAAGCAGCTAGCATAATGCAGCCGCAGAGCTTGATATGCTGACTGGGTCAAGCACACTTGAACATGAGAAGAGACTGTAACATATCTGGATCATCCTACAATACGCTCCTTAGTCCTCACCTCCAGGAGAACCTCCCCATCGTCTCCATGACTTCTCCCAGACAGTCGATCTCCACTTTCTGTCCAGAAGTCACAGTCATCGTCCTGAGTCCACACTGCCACGACTCCAGACACTTCACCTTACGGACGCGACACTTCTCCGTCACCTTTTGATTTCCAAATTGAAATGATAACAATTATTGCTGTTGTCAGCTACTTTCCCTTGTACATTTCTCTGCGTTAGATGTCTGAGGTGTCTCTGTCTCACCGTTGTTCCCCCTTTGGTTTCTTCCATCGCCGTCTTGCCGTCTTGCAAGAAGCACAAGGTTTGAGTTTTAACCCCCAGCCCACAGGTGGTGCTGCAGGGGCTGCTGTTGGTGACGACCTCCACTGGTACTTCATCCACCTCCTCCAGGTCAGTCAAGCTTAGAGGATGGAAGAGGAGGAGGACGAGGAGGTAGAACCCAACAGAGCCATGTTGCATATTGATGGTAAATCTGCAGAAAGGAAGAAACGCTTTCACATTACACAGTGCATCTTTAAGAGAAGTTAGGCCCCAGACCTAGTGTTTAACCTGCAAGACTTAATACAACTTAATTTTGTGATCCCTCAATATTTATACCAGACTGCACGACCTCAGTGGATCTTCTGACAGCTACTCACCCTCTTTTCAAAGCTGAAATCAGACAGATGCTCTGACTACAAATCCAGACTCCTGGCTCTCTTTCCCAGCTATATTTTCTTTTGAACTGAATGTTTTGTTGTGAAAATCAGAATTCCAGAAGGAAGAAACGTCATCCTTATATGTGGCAAAATGTTAAAAAGCAACACATTCAGCTGCTATAAACCTACATCTGTCCATTTTATTTTACATTTCTTTGTGTCGTTTTTATTTATTCTAACTTTGACAATCTGTCAGTGTGAAGGAAAGTGTTTTCAGCAGTTTTAAGTTATTTGAAGCTTTCTGTTCTTTGCTGAGTTGTTGGGATTTGTGTCTTGGAATTAGCTGTTAATCATGTTTTGATTTAAAAAGTCAGAAGTGAGCTGCAAGGTGGCGCAGTTGTTGCCTCGCAGCAAGAAGGTTGCCGGTTCGCGTCCCGGTGGGGGCAGCACTCTTTCTGCGTGGAGTTTGCATGTTCTCCCCGTGCAGCGTGGGTTCTCTCCGGGTTCTCCGGCTTCCTCCCACACAGTCCAAAAACATGTTGAGGTTAATTGGTGATTTTGTAATTTGTGGTGTAATTGTCCGTAGGTGTGAATGTGAGTGTGCTTGGTTGTCTGTCTCTAAGTGTGACCCTGCGATGGACTGGCGACCTGTCCAGGGTGTCCCCTGCCTTCACCCTGAGTCGGCTGGGATAGACTCCAGCCCTCATGCGACCCTAATGAGGATTAAGCGGTGTATAGATAATAGATGGATAGATGTTTAAAGCATTTACTTGTGTTGTAGAAAGGCCTTAGAACACACAGGGGAGAGTGGAGGAGGAGGGCTGTGTATTTGCAAATTCTCCCTTTTCTGTGAGATTTTTGTCCACATCAGAATTGTGTAGGAAATAAAGCCCTTTTAATAAATTTTTAGCCCCATTAGTTATTAAAGTTTTGCTGGCTCACAGTTTAGCTCTGGCAGAGAACTCTAAAGAGAGATCATGAACAAACTTGAAGTTAGCATTCCGTGCAAATCTCTGACCTTTATTTTTTTGCCTCACACAAAGCTGAATGCTGCCAAGTTGTTGTTTTTTTTCCAGATATGAACATCACCTGCAGCACTCATTACTGTTTTGTGTTACATTTCTTCCCTCCAGATCCTGTCCTTGAAAAACAGCTGCAGCAATAATATTGGTATTGGTTTTTTTTTTTAATCAGGGAAAATTTCTGACTCCCATGTCAAGCCATAGAATGTGACATGTATGAAACCTGATTATTAAGCATTTGCAGAAATGAATGGGCAGCTTGTGTTTTATTTTGGTGGTATTAAAAACTTTAAAATCAACAACTCTCTGTATTCCTCCCATGCTTTATTGGCTTGATCTTGTTGCAGCTGATATAAAAGGACAAAACATGATTAGGACCTGCAGAAAGCAAAACTGCCTTACATGCATTGATCAGTCAGTGTACTGTATATTCAGTATATGTATGCATATATAAGC